TCGCTACCGCCTGTCGCAGGTCTACACAACATAAACTTCAACTTGGTAGATTAGAATGCCTTATTGATGACTAAGCAATTTTTTTCTCCAATGGAGGAGGTATTAAAGTATAATAACATATTGTGCTTGGATAAGATCTTTACAGAAACGATTAATATCAAAAGTCGTAAATGGAAAGCAAAATATGGAAGATTTAATTGTATTTCTTTTAAAAGAAAGGTCTTGAAATTGACATACATTTAGCGCTCATGCATAATGCACGGACCTTTTTCCATAAAGAAAACCAAAGTTTGAAAATTTTGCTTTTTAATATTGCTGTGGAGCACTGTGTTTCTACAATATGAGTGGACTTCTTGGGCATTTTCGCTGGAGGAGAAAAAGGTAGAGCGTAAAGTTGTTTTGGTTTCTGGTATCTGCGTTTACCTTTTTTTCCGTGGAATCTCTTATGCTGTAGGTTAAGCTCTTAAGTTCAGTGTGGGTTTCTTCTTAACCTCATCAAACTGATTTTGCTGAGTTATTCCACTCCCGTGGAATGCATTCGGCAGTTCGATCTCTCCATGGTGTCCTTGTCTGAGTCTCGATTCCAGGCGAAGTAGCTTGATTGAATTTGGACTTTCGGCACTTAGACCACATTCGACTTTCATACAATCTAAAACTGAAACTGTTTTCCAGTCACTCTGATTTGCCCTCACAATGTGCTCTACAACTTTTGTGACCACAAGTGTGGTCACTCTTGTTTGGACATTTCTTGATTTTCATGCAACATTCATTGTCTGTGGAGTCTTGTTTAGCAGTCTAAATTAGGATTGCTTCCGCAAAGAGTAGATAAATGTCTTGAACACGTTTGTCTTCAGCTTCGGCCAAATTAGCTTTATACTCAGCATAGGTAACATGAAAAACTGATGACAGTGAACACCAGTTCGTTGTGGGTTATTCATCTCAAAGTGACTGGGAAAGAACCCTATTGCATATAAGTCTACAAAATTGCTCCTGCCAATGCAGGAAATTGTGTTTTTAGGTAAGAGAGAGATTAATTTTGGTCCTGAACAGTAATAATTAATTGGGCCGCTGTCATACACTCCCCACTTTAGTATTTCCGTTCCACCGCATTTGGCCGGTGATTTTGCAAAATGCGTTCAGTAAATGCCCACACTTGGTCCGCTTTTTTCCAATCCCTAAAGGGTAACTTGCTTGAATCGAGTTTAGAGAGCCATTCTGACAACTGTCTGTTCAGAACCTGTGCACACTTGGACCAGAGAAAGGTGAGACTGAAGCAATGACATAAGGCTCTGCGAAAGTCAAGTATTTTTTCCTGACAAATTGCCTCCTTTTTCAACATTAATCAAACAAAATACGGAAGTGCTAACCCGTCCGAAGCAACATAATGGCTGTGCCTGGATCAACTTCAGGTAAATGAGAGCGTGGCGAGCCTGGTGTTTTTCTGTTTACCTTAAAATCAAGGCCGTTTTGAGAATGTTTCTTGTGTTTTATTTTTCCTTAAATGGACTTACATGTTTCTGACTGCCTCAAACATTCGACAAGTAATCCAGATCAATTCTGCACAAACAATCGACAATTCTATTAGTTAAAATTGTTGTGGACCCCAGCATGTGGTCTTGAACCACCCCGGAGCCACGGAATTAACCCTGGCCCGATTTCGTTTCCCTTATACCCGCGATAGAGAAAGTGATCGAAGAGGACGTAGACACAACCGTTTACTCCAGAGCTCAACCACGTTGGTATCGTTGTGTCGTGTGTGGTGTTTGCGCGTGTGTATTTATACCTCGGATGTGTGAGTCCTACATGCGCCAACATCGAGACCTAGGTGTGAGGTTAATCCAAATATTCGCGCGAATGAGGGAGAAGTTGAGGATCCGCGCGGCTGGCGACATGCTGCGAAAAGGGGAACCCTGTGTCAGAGGTGGAGCAACCGGATTAAGGGGTGTGAATAAACACAACTCAAAACAGGATCGGAGAACTATGATTGCAAATTAATTCTCAATGACTTGTTGCTTATTTCTAAAATCACGCTTTGTTTAAAAATAGTGCTGGGAAACTATAATATTGTACTGTTTAATCAAACTTTCGGAAAATTCGTTTAGGATTTTATTAAACTTGCTGGATTTTATATGGTAGAAAGAGGGTAAATGGTGACGTTGAGGCAATTTTTAAATATCGACGAAAGGTATTTGAGCATGCATGCGATTTGCCAGCTTACTTGTAATATGCTTTGCAAAACGTGTACAATTAAGCAATGTAACTAGTATTTACTCTTTAAAAACCCTTTTCGATCGTGAAAAGATCGTTAAAATGCTAAGAAGGACAATGTCACATGACATTGAAGCCCACTTAATTATGGTGACGGGTTGACATGAACTCTATTTGAACTTTTAGCCTGTAGCCTGTCAAAATTGCTATCTGATTTGTCCTAACACCGGTCTAAAACTACTTCCCGCTGTGTAAGAGTTGTAGGTTGCCATTTTGGTATTTCTTTTTTTTCAACAATGATAACTTTATCCTAAAGCGAGTGTCTTTGTAGCTTTTGCATACTGTTCACAAGTTGCTACTCACTATTGCTTAGTAAGGGATTTGTTGGAAGGTCGTAAATCTTAGAAGTAATTAGATGTGTTCTAAAACCAAAAGAAGTGTGCGTGAAAATTTCCACTTCTTTTTGAGTTTAAATGCTTAATTTGGGAACAGCAAAGTCCCTCAGTTTAACGCTTCGAATCTTTAACTTAATCTATGAGGTGTTTTTGCTTAAGGCCTATTTTAGTTTGTCGAACGGAAACTCGAATCTGCCTTGCTCGAAAAACTCCCTATTTAGCATGTCCTTTTCGCAAGTGTTTAGGTAACTGATTAGTCAATAAAACTATCCTTCTGGTAGCAAGTCCAGTTTTCGATAAATAAGATTAAACACCCAGTAATGCAAAATTTGAATTGCATGACAAAATGCAGAATTTTTTCGTTGAAATGGAGTCTATTTTAGAATCCTTCTGTTCAAGTGTTAAATACTATTCCTTACAGAACACTTTCATGCATTTTTATTTGTTAGCAAAGCAAGCCATTGCCAGGGACGTGGAGACCTCCTCACTGACTCGAAATCGTTAAAGGGCCATGATCTATCCCTCACTCCCACAGATAATGCTTTACTGTACATATTTTGACATACCTTTTATCAAACCCTTCCCCTTCTTTAAATGCCCGCAAAGTGTTTTCTGCGGGGAATCAATATCTAATCGCATTCTTCCGGTTTATAACTGCGTCTTAAGATTATTCGAATGCAAAGTTCCTAGTTTTTCCTACAAAATTCCAGAAAAAAGAATGTCATGGAGATGTCCGGATTGACTGGCCACATTCGCTTCACATTGCGTTTTGGATCTACGATAAGTTTAGGCTTCATTAAATTCTCACGTCTGATTGGTTGCCTGTAAATGGGATTTTCCAATTGGCTGCGTTCTGTAGGACAGGATGCGCAAATCTGCTATTCCGGTAGGGAACGAAGTGAAGTCGCTCACATTGTGCACCTATTCCATGTAAAACACTAGAAGCTCCAGCAATGCCATTTGCTTTCAGTAAAGGATTGAGAGAGGCCCTTTCAAAGTGGACGGACAAAACCAGTAAACACTGTGGTAGGGTCGATGGCTTCGTTGCATAACCGATCTGCAAATTGTTCGACTTTTTGCAAATTGTTAGATTTTTAGTTTATATTTTGTGCAGCCCATGCTGATAAATCAATTATGGTTCATTAAAAAAGCCATTTTTATAAAAAAAATTACCGACGAGTTTTGACCGTGTTATACCCAGTAGGGTCTGCTGGTGTCAACTGACACTCAAGTAAGAAATATTAAGCTGTTTCTTTTAATTCTTAAAGGCATCGACAGAACTACTTTTTAACCAATGATAACGAAGAATCTTGTACATATCTGCTCCGTTACAGAAAAGTACTTGAAATCAATAAATTAATTGCTTGATTTTTGTCGTGGTGTATCTGATTTTTAAGCTTCATTCAGATGAGAAAATTTGTAGTTAAAATTTCGTTTGTAGAACTGGATGGTTAACATGTCCATAGAAAACTACGTGGACAAATGAATTCATGTATCATTTTTGATGTGGCAGATGAAACCCACTATGCATTTTGATAGGCTGTTGCTTCTACAAAGTATGCATTTGGTCAACGATTTTAAATTCTAATCCTTTAAATTATGGAGAATTAACTTATATATTCCTTACTCTGTGGCTGCAAATGCCCACTTACTTTTATATTTATTCCAATTCGCTATTTGTTAAATTCTTTTTACGAAGATTTAAAAAAACGAAACGTCGTAATGCTATCACAAATCTAGGACCCTATAATGATGTTTGCCGTTTTTTGACAGTACAATTAAAAACGTCAACACTAAAACTGTCGTGATACTCAAATTGGCTTATTGAAAATAGAGGAAAAATTATTCAAGGAAAATTTTCTGTGAGTAAAAAATATAGTACTGATTTGACTCAAAACAGGTTTTTTTTATGTAAGAATACATCTGCCTACTAAATTCCATGACAAGAAATTAAATGTTTGTCTAATAGAACAGGGACAAGCCGCGGGTGAGTAGATGTTAGCAAGTGACCGTGTAATTGTTGGACCTTCCATGGAAGACCACGTTGGGTCCACGCCGTCCACGTCTTCTAAGATGACCTCACACCATCCATCAATTAATATTTCTGCTTTTGCTCAAAGTTAACCAACTGAAACCAACTTACTTTTAGTCTATTCTTAGGGGCAGTAGAATCAATAAATTATTCCACTAATTGCTATATTCCGGGCCTTATTTTATCAAAAACTATAACCTCCACAGCGTCATTAGTAAACATAAACCACATTTTTGTCCTAATCCAAAAATTTTACTGTTTTCCGCTCTTTTGTATGTCATGCTTCAGTTTTATTACAATTTGTAAAAATACTCCAGCACAGTCCTGCTGCAGATCATAGTTTTGTGTTTCATTCAAGGCTCTAGTTTGAATTTAATGTGAATTTCGAACACACGATTAAATTTTCACCTTATCTTTTTACAGAAACTAACATCGACGAAATCGAAACTAGTTACCTTCACCAAAAGCCGACCTCCATTCAAAATCTCCTCAAGAGCACCCAGTTTTCTCGAAGGGAATTACAAATTATATACCGCGGCTTTAAAGAGGTTAGTGGACTTGTTTTCTGCTGCAACCGCACCCATCCCTACAGTATGCAATTGCGATCACGTCTGCAGAAACACCATTTTGATGATTGCTTCAGACCACGTCTGCAAAAAGTCACTTTAAGAATGCCTTCCAAAAACCAATATGTGGAATAACAAACCATTTTTGCTACAACTAATTTTCACGTATGAAAATTAGGTTCGTGAAGTGAATGATGTTTGAAGGAGCCGATTTTAATAGCTTTTTTGCAGCTGATACCGGACAAATAAGAAATGCGACTATGTACAATCTTGGAAATAAATGATTTTTATATGCAGCTAGCCTCCAAGGCAAAATGATGAGACAGACGAAGTCGCTTGCTAAACCCCTTTTGTTTCGCATACCGACTGGGTGGGTTTACCGGCGTCGTGGTGCCCTTTGACAGTTTTCCTACGCATTATTGCAGAACTTGGCATGCTTGTTTGTGTTGATTTCATGGCGGCTTGAAAATTTTACAGCAGCCTTTGTTTAAGCTTGGACAATAAACTAAAAACCACAGCATCTCGAAGCAATTGTCTTTTTACAAATTCGTCTACAACACCAGAGGGGATTGTAAGTCGTTTTTATTTTGAAGATAGCTCTCTTGCTTAATAGCAGTTAATTGTAAGTTATGTGGAAGTTGTAATAAATAAAAACAAAGTGAATGAACGGAACAGCAGTTTACAATGTACACCGTTGAATCACTTCTTGAATAACACATGTCCACCACGCGTTCAAGCTGTTTACATCTAAATTAATATTTGTAACTACAAAGGTGAAACTCTAGCACTTACATTCCACAATAATGCCCCCGTTTTTCAATTCCTCACAAATAAAAGAAATTATTTTCCGCTTAAACATGTCATGGTCAGTCGCGTGATTAATGACCAATGAGAACATTGCTAAATTATTAATAAAACTATTTACTCGATTCCTCGATAATGAAAACAGACCCTCACGTAGGTCTAACGATCCATGTGAGGCAAGACAGACCAAATACAATTTGTTGCTGGAATAAATGGCGTGCTAATTGATGCAAAGCTGTTAGAACGGCTTCTTCAATAGAACATTGAACTTGTTTTTTGGGGTTTTACTTGAAATGCTTTCACTGTTGCATTGCTCAGCTTTTAGTTATGACGGTAGGCGCAAGTATATCAATGTTTCCGAATTTCAGTTCTCATTGTCTCATTAAACTGCGGCCTTCAAAATCTTTTATTTATTTGATTCCTTAAAGGCCTAGGACTGTAATAAGGGTTCAAGATTACAATCCGGGTAGAGATGACGCATTTTGAAGGGTAGTCAAGGCTATGTTACCTGCCATCGGCACGCTTGAAACCAACGCACGTAGCATTGTCTTTTTTTGTGGTATGTTACAAGCTTTAAAAGAAATGCAGATCGGTATCATTGTTCTTAGTCATGTTAAAAAATGGAAGCGGGAATTTCACTTGCAGCTACTTCATCTTGGTTGAGGACGTCCAAAAAGCAAATGGCTGAGCAATGGGCTATGCAGTCCAGTCACCAAACTGCACAAAAAGGTAAAAAATGGGCTTCATTCACCATTATTTTGTTAGTGTTTACCAGTCAGAAGGCTTCTAACCTCTCCCGAAGCATTTCCTGGTGGAATCTGATGGACGAATTCTCATATTTTTTCATGTAGCAAGCTAGATTTCTGCAGTGTGCCCGGTTGAAGTGCCTATTAAGCTATGTCCGTTCCTGTTCAATAAATAAATGAATCGTGTTGCTTCACTATACCAGTGTCAGTCGGCTAGACTGCGTTAAAAATAGAGCCATCTCATTTAAGAGAACTGAATGGCCTTGAACTTTGTACTTTTTGGCAATAATGCAATAATGGAGCAACTTCAACAACCTTTACTAACATCATGCTTGATTAGCGCATACACCACTCGAGATCCGTTTTCAGAAATCGAGAACATAACTGATAATGCTGTACATGATAAGAGGTGGGTCAGAAATTTTAGACGCTGTGACGTCTAAGTGTTCATTTTGCAGCATCCGAAAATAGATTTTGACCCCAACTTCTTTCGCTGATTAAGAGATTACGTATCGCCTTCTTTTGGCCACGAGCGCATTCACACATTTTACTACCAACCACCTTTGATGTCCTGCTCTGCACGCGAGCACCAGGTCGAAAATCTGCCCATGGCTATGCTTGAATAGCGCTTAACTATGAAAAAATTGCACCGTTTTGCGTCCTGTGAAATTTTAGTTCGCCGGAGGGTTTCGGCTTACTTCTAAGATCCTAATTTCTTCAATTTTGTGTTCAAGTGACTATGACAGAGCTGCTGTGTTGACAGCCCTTAAACTTTTCCAGTGAGTAGCTGCATTCACCATTACTGTCACGTGCAGTTTTGCAAAATTAAGTTAACTCAATTTACAAAGTTGTCTGATCTTATGTCCATAGTGCATATATACGCCAAATTGCTCTTTTATTTCAGTCCTTTTGGTAGATTTTCTATTATTTTGCCAAGTTTTTCTAACAGATAAGGGCCTGGTAGACGATACCTGTCGAAATCCTAGCCTGGTGTTTCCTAATTAAACGTTTTGCAAAAGTTGGTTCTTTATCCAAAAAACATGTGAGCATCCATCTAATTTAAATGCAGCCTTTTCTTCTTCGAAAAAATAAACAAATTCCATTAAATCTGTAAAAGACGTCATCCGAATTGAAGAAGTGGGTGTATGACATTTATTCTCCACTAGTTATCTTATTCTGTTTACAAACACGTTTTAAATATCTATAATGAATTATTATTTGAGAGTATTAAATTGATTTGCAGTGTCAAACCTTATGTCTTCTTTGGTTTGTGGATCTTCGCGAATTCGAACATTCATCACCAATTTATAACTTAGCAGCTTGCCCTCTCCGTAAACTCCCTAACTGAAAAATTATCTTAACAAGCGCTGATATTAATGAACTCGCATAAGTATTCTTTTGAAATTTAATACACAAGTCCAATTTTTTTCAAGTTTTGCAGAAATAAATAGTCTCAGACCATGAAATTATATTAAATTATATGCCGATCGCTATCGTTTTTATGTCCAAAATATACCCATTCGAATGTTTAAGTTCAATGTGGAATTTTCATATCGATTTCC